GTCATTTCGGTAATCACTACAGTTCACTTGCAACAACTTTGATATTTCTATTTAGAGCTGAACCATATATGAAAATGCATATTCAATTATTTGATGGACATTTTGATACAGACCGATTGTTTAATTCAATAAGTAAATTCTTTGATAGCTTGTCTGCTACACCAATTGAACTTATTCCAGAGTTTTTCTTCTTACCTCAATTTCTTATCAACTTTAATACAATAGACTTTGGTAAACGAAAAGATAACAATGTTGTTAATAACGTTGAATTACCTCCATGGTGTAATGGCAATCCTCGTCAGTTTGTTAATATAAATATGAAAGCATTAGAATCATCATATGTCAGTCAACATCTTAATGAATGGATTGATCTTATTTTTGGTTATAAACAACGAGGAAAGAATGCAGAAGAAGCATGTAATGTATATCCACAATGTTCATATGAAATTGGAGATTTATCTAAAATGAATGAGAAAGAAAGACAAACAACACTTGACAAAATAAGAAATTTTGGACAAACTCCAATTCAATTGTTTAAAACACCTCATCCAAAGAGAGAGGTTAGTTGTACAAAGTATAACATTGGAGTATTTGAACAAGATAAAAATTATTCATTAACCGTTGTAAATAAAAGTGGATTTCCAATTGGAGAGATGCTACTTGACGAGAAAAATGAAATTACAATAACACGAAAAGGAGAAATAATTATTCCGAATGGAAGTGCTCAAGTTGGAAGTGGTGGAATTATGAGAATAGAACGAAATGGAAAGATAATGAATATTGAAGAATGTCAGAATGGTTCAATTCTTATTGGTGATGAACGAAATGTATTAGTTGGAGGTGGGGATGGTAGTATTCAAATCATTGATATTAGTACAGATTCACCAAAGAAACGAGGAAGATTGTGTGGGCATGATACTGCAATTACATGTTGTGTAATTGATAATAACAATAATATTATTATTACTAGTGATCAACATGGAATTTGTTTGATTTGGGATATTGGCACATTAATGTGTTTACATGTAATTGAAGTAGGAGAATGTGTAATTGGATTAGATATTAACAATGAAACAGGAAATTTTATTGTATTAACACAACATCAACTTCATTATTATGATATAAATGGTGATTTAATAAGTCAAAGTCAATGGATTGAACATGAACAATTCACCTCTGTTGCCATTACACAAACACCAATGTGGAATGATAAAACATTCGTTGTCATTGGTGATATGAAAGGTAATGTCACATTTTTGAAATTAACTGACAATTTTGAGTTTATTCATTGTCAGACTATTTCTAGCCATCCAACACCAATAGAATCTTTGAAAATTTCAAATGATAATACTTCCATTTTAATTGGACATGTAAATGGCATTGTAATTTGTTTGAATTAAATTGTTGTTGTTCCTTTCTTCTCTTGTTTAATTAACTAAAATAAATGAAATAATTTAATTAAACTTATTCAGCAATTATTCCATATCTTCAGACGACTCTTTCTCCATTTGGAATACTACTATTCTTTCTGGAGTAAACTTCTGGTCCATACGACCTGTCAAAGCATAATGAATTTCTTCTCCATTAATTCTGTAATCAAATGATGATTGTTTGCATTGACATTGTTTTTCAGTATCTTTTTTATATACAACAATATCAGGACCATAACCTACTTTAAATAACATCTCATTTCTTTGTAGCTTGAGAAGAAAGGCATTCTTTCCTTCTTCTTTTTTAATATCAAATTTTACCATTCCATTAAACCTATGGTTAGATGTTAATGAAAATACAAATGCATTTGAATCTTCAATCATTTCATCAATTTTAGTGATAAATGAATGTAAATATATTCCAAATTTATTGTGCATATCGTCTTCAATAATAACTACAATATTAGAATGTTCAATAATACTCTTTCCAAACTCAGATGACTTAGTATCCCATTTATTTAAGGTAGAATCAAAAAGCAGTTGTCCTTTCTTTAATCCAGTCCATTTTTCTATTTGATTATGTTCTTCTTTTGATACAAATATTTCAATACTTTTATCTTGAGGAGAAGTATCTTGTTTCTTCTCTTCTCTAAGTCTTAACTCAATATATTGAAATAATTGGTCATCATTAAATTCCTTTATTCTCTCATTATCTTTTAATTTATCAATCACCTGTTGTTGAATAAATTTAATATTTGTATCATTAGTATCTACTCTCGTTGTAAGATCTTCTAGTTTCTCATCATGGTATTTGTAGTGAGTAAATAATGTATTTATTGCATCATCAATTCTATTTTGTTCAACTAAATTAATAAAATCTTCAACAAATTCATTTATTTTTTTCTGGTTTGAATAATTTTTATCAGCTTTTCTAGTAAGTTCTGCTGTTATTATCTTAACTGACTCTTGCACTTCGTTTAATTTACTTTCAACTCGGTTTATTTTACTTTCCATTTGTTTTTTAAATTCAGTAAATTCACTCATGGGTATGGTATTTACTATTTCTTTGATTTCAGACTTATCTATTTCTTCTTTTGTTGGTTTTATGGTTTTGTCATAAAGACTTTGCATTAATTAAATGAACTTATAAATGCTTTTATATTGCAGAACTCTCAAAATAATACCATTTTTAATTCCATTAAGTGTAAAACCTACTCTTATTGAATAGACATAAAATAGAAAAGAATGGAAAAGAATAAGTGTCTTAAATGATCTTGTAAAAAAAACGAAGAAGTAAACGTTTTCTATTTTCTTCTTTTTTTATCGCTGTTACCTTATTTTAAATACATTTGAAAGTTTAATGTCAAATAATTATTACATGGACAATATCATGTGTAAGAGGAATTTTCTTTTTAGAATGAGTGGAACTTGTTTTAATGTAATTATATAAATAAACAAAAAGCAACATAATCAAAAGAAATTCCATTTTTTTTAACAACCAGATATAGTTGTTAAAGTCATCACTATAACCTCCAAGTAATAAATTTAAAAT